GGGGGATGGGTTAGCCTGGTGATGGGTATTAAAGAGGGCACGTACTGCATGTTATACACAAAAAATGAATCATGGAACACTACATCAAAAACTAATGATGTGATGTATGGTGATTAACATAATGTAATAAAATATTTAAAAAAGATTAAAAAGAAAGAAAGGAAAAAAAAATGCAGACCTGGCTAGAAGGACCAGTCTAGATGCCAGGCCCCAGACCCTGCCTATCCCAAGAGTTGAGGGGCATCAAGAGCTTCATTTCCCCGTAACCCTTTTATGGCACACCTGTTGGGAAGCTCTTACAGGAGAAGAGGTCAGTGAGGGCCAGATAAATGAGAAGGGTTTCATGGAAGAGGTGAAGATAGAACTCGGCTTTGAAAGGTGGTAGGTTGGAGGGGCAGTATTGATGGAAAAAGACATTCCAGCAGAGGAAATGACATGGAGCAGGGCAGAGCAGTGGAGCAGAATACTAGATCTGTGGGCTCTGGGGAGGCCGAAGGCAGTGACAGATGACGGCAGGGGATCTAGGTTGAAAGGCAGCGGAATTTTTGTGCACTAGACCCAGAATAAAGAAATCCTAGAAATGATCACGTTCAGGCTCAGGGAAGAAGGAGATGAATATTTTTAAAAAGTCTATGTGTTGGGGAGAACTGAGGAAATAGACACTTCTGTATGATGCTGGTGCAATATAAATGGTATGACCTCTTTGGGGGACATGTTGGCAGAATCTACCAAAATTACAAATGCACATATCCTTCAACCCAGAATTCCACTCTGAGGAATTAATTCTATATAAATAGGTATACATCTTGTATATTGGTATGTACAAGGTTAGATACTGTATCATTTTTGTAATAGCAAAGGTTGAAAACAAGATTTGGAAACACCGAATATTCACTAACAGGGGCTCATTGAATAAATTATGGTACACCCATACAGTAGAATACTATATAGTTATAAAAAGAACAAGAGAGTCCTATGTACTTCATGTTTTCAAAGATACGTTAAGTGGAAAAAGCAAGGTACAGGATACAATGTTTAAAGTGCTCATGCAGCTGCAAAAAGCAAGGGAAAGAAGAAGTGTGTACATGTCTGTGTGTGTATGTATTTATGTATAAAATAAAAGATTCATAAAAATTAAAAAAATAAAGTAATTCTTTTTCTATCATAGTAGTAAGAGATTTGTAAGGGAGCAAAAAAAGAATAATGTATATATGTGTGTGTGTATACATACACACACATATGGAGAGAGAAAGAGATGATTAGTCAGAATGTTTATACCTTTATTCTTAAATTATTTTGTAAAATTCTTTATTCTTATTCTTTAAAATTCTTAGAATCTGGCAACACACATCTCTCTTGGTCTTCCTCCTATACCTGGAATATTAGAAAAGGCTAGGGCTTGTAGATCTGGGTTCACATTCTAACTATAATCCCTGCTAGCCATGAAACATTGGGTATGTCACTGAACCCACTGGAACTTCAGTTTAATCATTTATAAAATGGGTACCATTTGTGTAAAGAGGGGCATCAGTCAGAAGTGAATCAGGAAAACAGAAATGTGTCAGTCATTTTAAGAGAGAATTTAATGTAAGGAATTGTTTTAAAAGTGTTAGAGAATTGAGAAAATGGAAAGGAAACATAGAAACGACACCAACTGCAAGAAATTGCTACCACCTCTATGGCCAGGGCATCAGAGGGAAAGAGGGCTGGATTATTAGAATCTAGAAGCACTGGAGACAAGCTGCACAAGATGGGATCCAGCCCTCTGTCAGGAAAATGCTGCCCTACTCTTGCTGGGACCTCTGACAGGGCACAATAAGGCAGGTTTGGGGGCACAGAGGAAAAAAAGGAAACAAGAACAGATTGTCTAGGGCTCAAATCATGCTGCCAGGAAGAGCAAGAAAATGGGAAGAATCAGGTTCATCCTTTGCCATCCTGGAGCTTTTCCTCCAGTACTCATGTCCCCAGCATCACAAAGCAGATGGAAGGGTAGGTCTGGGGCTGAAAGACACTAGTTAAATAACTGGAAAAAAACACGTAGTGCAATGCCGAGAACGTATTACTCCATGTAATACAAGTTAATCCAACCCCTTTTTTCTTCTGCATTTTTGGCCCTCTTTTTTGCATGTTTTCCCCAGACCACCCCCGCAAAAAAGGAGCTTGGAAGAAAGCATCACCTTTTAAATTAATGTAAATGTAAAGCAAGTTTATTATAATTTATCTTTATAACTAACCCTTAATTCTTCCAGTAAATACTTAATCTAACACAAGCTCAACTGGAACTCTTTGTAATTTACCGTTCATATTGATTTTGCCTCACAAATCACAAAGTGTTCTCTGAGTCCCAGGCTGGGTTGGGCACCAGGTGGATTCTCTCAGTGACTCCTGTGTGTTTAGCTTATGGTTTCTGAGCCCTAGTTACTTATTTTCCGATTCTCCCCACTTCAAGTTGGTAAGAGGAAGAAGGAGAATGAGAAATATATTCCATGTCTATTAACTCTCTGCAGCTCTTATTCATCTTAAGTGCCTCTACTGCTTGGAAGTGTTAACTTCTCTAGGTCTAAATCCCTTTCTACCTAAAACTCATTTCCATGACTAGTTTCTACGCTTTCACTCTATGTTTATATTTATTTTGAAAGAGTAAATCCAGGTCTTCCTACATTCATTTACTAGGAATTCTCTATAGATTTCTCTTAGCAACTACCAAAGCAGCTTCTTTTTTACATCAACTACCTAATAAACATTTCACCTTACTGAGAATGAAATATTTATAGGAATTTTAACCAGTTTTACTAGGGCATTAGAAATTAAACAATACATTAAGGGACAAATAGTAAATAAATTCTGAGTAGCATAACATGAAAATAAGCATTTCCTCTAGTGCAATCTAATAAAGGTAAATCAAAAGATTTGGAAAGATTTGTGGTGCATGCCAAACAGAAGTTTAGGGAAGAAAACAACCAAAATAAGTATCTCG